AAAAGGTGGTCAGTAGAATATCTGAACCGTTTACAAAATAGGCCCAAATGGATGGAACCTCAACTAGAAATGAAAGTAGACGACTTAGTCCTTTTAAGGGAAGATGATACGCCACCCTTGAAGTGGCCATTGGCGAGAATAATAGAACTAATACCAGGAAAGGATAATAAGTCCAGAGCAGTCAAAATCAAAACTCAAGATGGCACTTATATCCGTCCAATCGTTAAGTTAGTACCATTACCCAGTGTCGAATAACATGATGTGGGTATTCCGGTCTTATTATTCATCATTTGTACATATTTAATAAGTTTAATATTTCATTCTTCGCTCTTTTATCAAGTATCAAAAAAAAAAAAAAAATTCTTTCGTTTTTTTTATTTTTTTATTTTATTCTATTCTTTTTATTACTACTTAGTTTAGTAATGATCACACAAGCGTAGAATCATTTGTTGTTTTTGTTTTAAACCTTCATGTTGCACTACTTTCAGTGTAACATCAGTAATCATTAGTTTTCTGACTGTCAGTATTTCTGAGTTGATAGTAGCTACACACCTATCAAATTATCAAATTGCACATAAGTGCTGGTCCTTCGAGTCCCAGAGAAAATCTTTCATTTTCTGTTTGTTTTTAAACACTCCGAATCTTATTTAGTTTGTTAACTTTAATCAAAACTTATTTCTATTTATTATTAATAATCATTCACTCTCTTGCGCCGCCCCCCAATATGGTTAAATTTCATAACATTTAACCAGAACATTATCATTATAAAATTCCAATGCCGGACCTGTATATTCGAAAAATGCCGGTTCAGCTTGACGTCACTTGGGTTGCGTTAGATATGATCCGGATACTCATTTCGGCTTTTGGGTTCGTTAACTATGACCCGGCAACTCGTTGTCGGCTCTTTGAGCGTGGGCGCACCGGCAGCTGAGAGTAGCGTTCCAATCTTAACACTGTACACATCTCCACTCGTAGTATTTTGTTGGTTTTTGTTTTTTATTACGTACGAGTGGAATTAAACGTTCATAAACGGCTAACATGTGGTCGTATATCTTTTAAACATTTTTTCTTATATAACAAGTAATGGTTTCAACGTGTTTTTCATCAATGTTTTGTAAATAGCTGTATAAAGTGCTTCGTAAAAGACTTTTAAGTGCAAAAGTGAGGTTTAAGTGACAAGTTCTCATCTGTTTACGTGACCAAATGAACTTACATCAAGAATCGAACTATCTAACCTGCATTTTTTTGTAAAACTATTCCGAACTTAAACATTTTCAGTTTCTCTCAATAAAATCTAGTGAAAATTCAATTTAAAGGGTTTTCATTTATTTAAACTCAAAGAAGAAATACCTTTCCAAGGAAATATTAGAAGAGCAAAGGGGTTATTACCTCAAGGAAGAACCTGATAATATCACACATGTTACCTTACCCGCAATTTCTTGGCATACCAGCAACCTAGAAGGAAATATAGAACATCACATCAAATTAATATGAGACAAACCCTCATATTTTATTCAATATGTTTTTGCGCAGAATTTGTAACAACCAATAACTAGAGAAATAATTATCAAAATAGACTTTGCAATTATCCTCTGTGATGCGGCCACAAGCTTCAAAACAACAACTGCGCCTTGTCCAAAGTCCACTGTCATTTGTGTTTGATCAAATTCCGTTTTAGCTCCCTGATAAATTGTAACATCGAACATCTACCAATCTGCACCTCAGATTGCAAATATTTTTATACACCATGGATTTGGTTTGTGTTTGAACTTTTCAAAACCTGTCCTGATGCTCCACGTCATGCCTCAAGTGGTAAAATCTATTTGAAGACGTACTCTCAGCAATCTTGGACACTCGTAATTTTGCATCCCAATAAAATTGGATAATGTAAATTTCTGATAAGTACATATATATGTATACCAACGAAAGCTTGCACTTCCTCTACAGTCGTTGAGGAAAATCATATTTCGTTCTGTACAGCATCTTCTTCTTAGAGTGCCGTCTCCCTACGGAGGTTGGCAATCATAATGGCTATTTTTATTTTAGAACTTGCTGCTCTAAACAAATCAATCGATCTGCATTGATACCAATCACGTAGATTATTTAACTATGAGTTCTGCCTTCGGCCAACAGATCTTCTTCCTTGAATCTTTCCCTGTATTATGAGTCTCAAAATTTCATATTTTGGTCCCCTCATCACGTGGCCTAGGTATTCCAGTTTTCTGGTTTGTATAGTAGTGATTAGTTCTGTTTCTTTACCAACCCTCTCCAATACTTCTGTATTTGTAATTCTATCAGTCAATGATATTTTCAATACTCTGCGGTATAACCAGAGTTCGAATGACTCGATTCTTTTTAAATTACATTTTTTTAATGTCTAAGTCTCAGCTCCATAATTAATAATATTGAAAATATATAACAGCGAATGGTACGTAATCTGATCTCCAAATTTAGATTTTTGCACGTTAGGAGTGGCTTCATTCGTATAAGTGCTGATCTGGCAATATCTATTCGCCTGTTTATTTCTACAGTATGATCATTGTTTTTTCATGTATGATCATCAAGTATTTTTCTACTTGTTCTATCACGTTACCATTGATTGTCAATAGGTGATGTATATTTTGTGGTCTTTTTGTAATTAGCATGTACTTCGTTTTGTTAGTGTTTATAGTAATTCCCATCTCAGCACTATTCATACTCAAGCTTTCGATAAGATGTTGTAGATCCTCTGCAGGTTTGTAAACTCTGCCATACGTGCAAATAAATCTCTTGTAAAGTAATTACAGGAGATAGGATAAGGGCTCTCCAATTCTACAACCGGCGTTACATCTACAAGCCACAGGATGGGTGGAGTGAGATATCTCACTTTGGTACGCCATTTGATATCATCCTTAGGGGTGAGATGATTATTTATAAGGTAATCATGAACCTATTCTTACTTCGAGAAAATGCTTGAGAAGTGGTTGGTTCTGCAGGGATCACAGGGTTCACAGGCTTCACTTGTCCTGCGAGAGGTTCATCTTCAATAGTTGGTTTATTTGGACCACCATTTCCTGTTTGTAAGTCTTCTTCTTCAGTTTCAATGTCACTACCTTCGTCTGAAATATTCAATATCTGGAAGATTTTCTATTATATTAATTACTATTTTAATGGGAATAAGCCACAATTGAAATTTAAAATAAGTTTATTTGCATTTCAATTTCCACCTCGTAAATCGTTCCCAAAATATAAACATTAATAAATTAAACAAATTTTGTTTTTTGTTGGTAAAAAATTCTTCTAATAGTTTAATTTTATCTGACTCATTTATATTAACAATTCAGACATATATTAGACATACGTAGACGACTTTAAAATGATATTGAGAATATTGTTGAGTTGCGTTCCTGGTACGACTTTATTGTAAGATAGTTCAGTCGATTACATGGAAGTCGAGAATATCCGCCAGAAAAAATCATAGCACGCGATTCGACTTTAAAAAGACAACCGCGTGCCATGATAACAATAAAATTCTCCTGTTAGTGATTCTATGGTAAATCATGAGGAAAAAAACCTTATAATACTATCCCGACATGATAAGTATTTGGTCTTACATTTAGTTTTCTCTCTTCTTCTTTTTGTGTGTCTCCTATCGAAGATTGGATATCATTAGGCGATTCTAATTTTATTTACTGCTGTTTCGAATAATTCGTTAGTGGTACAGCCAAACCACTCTCTTAAATTTCTCATCCAGGACATTCTTCTACGGCCTGGATTTCTGCGTCCTTGGATTTGTCCTTGCATTATATTTTGTAGGAATATGTACTTTTGTCCTCTCATCAGGTGGCCTAAGTATTCAAGTTTTCTCTTTTTTATATTCAGTATAACTTCTGGATCGTTATTTATTCTGCGTATTACCTCTTCATTGGTAATTTTATCCACCCAACTTATTTTTAGTATACGGCGGTAGCACCACATCTCAAAGCTTTCAAGATTTGTAACATTCCTCTGTTTAAGAGTCCATGTCTCAACACCGTAAAGCAAAGTACTGAATACATAAGTTCACCAAATAAACACCAAATTCTGATTTTATGTGTGTGTTATTAAAAAAACAAATGATGTATCCTCGATATTTTACTGACTTACTAATAGTGGTATTTTCTTTTTATTAACTTCCTCTTTCAATATGGGTAACCAGATCCTACTGCATTCTGCCGAGGAATTTATGACACAATTGGTCTTTCATACTTTTTCTATGATATATTCTATTCCCGTTTGTTTACGAATCTCGTCGTTTTTACCGCGGTGTGTAAGTTTAATTCCTAATCAATATTTCCATTAATCTTTCCTTAAATCCTGAATCTTTCCATTTCCTCTGTGCGATTCTCATTTTATTAGCATTATTTCTAGTGAGCGTTAATTTCGGAACTATATGTTTTAACTGGAAGCACGCATTTATTATATATCTTTCTCTTAAAGCTCATAAAGATTTCACTATTGAATGTTTCCATTAATCTACCGTATGTTTCGTGTGTCTGGTTGCCTCTGGGGATTTTTAAAGTCATGACCAAGATATCTGTATTGTGTAACCTCGTCTATTGGTGTTGTTTTCTAATTTGCTTGATCATCCGATGAATTTGTTTGACATAAAATATATTTTACTTTTGTTTATTTACAATCCCACTTCTTTGGTTGTCTGTGAAAGTTAATTAAGCATTAGTTCGGCTTTGTATCAATTATAGGCAATGAGGATACTATCGTCGACAAATGGAAGGTTGTTAATCATTTTTACATCGATATTTATCCCGTTCTAATAACCGGAACCGGGGATAATACCGCTAACAGCTGGATAGTCAAATCGCGAAACATTACGGCTGGACAGGTGCGTCGATTCGAGTCTATTCCACCATAGACGGAGCACGGCTATCGTAACAATATTTATATTTTCTCTTATATCAGTAATACTACTTTTATATACTGTGGAATAAGAAATTCAATTAAATATTTTATGGTATTTCTAGCTTACGTCACTAAAAGTTCTCCAGAACGAAATAGGCCAAAAAGCAGGCGAAACTATAAAAGAACAGTCAATAGGAGTTGACAGCAAAGCGTTGAACTTTTACCACGAGAGAAAATCGGTATCTGCAGATGTAAATTATGGAATTAGGTTCAAAACATTACAGGAGTGTCATACGTTTCTCGAAAATCTCTCTGCAGAAGTGTACAATAGAATGAACGAAATTAATATGAGAGCCAGGTGTTTGACTTTAAAATTGTTGGTGAGAGCTCCAGAAGCCCCGGTGGTAAGTAGTATTTGACACTTTCTTCATCACATTGTTCGAAGTAGATACATAAACAGATACTAATTTTTGTTTAGTGAGAGTGAGAGATGTATACAAAAATCAAAGAAATTGGTTTGACAAATCATATTGTTTATTCTCTTTAGCCGTGGATGCCGCTATTTTGTTAAAATAAAAAACATACTTTTAATTTTAGGAAACAGCCAAGTTCCTTGGTCACGGAATCTGTGACAGTCTGACCAAGAGTACCACCTCAAATTCCATTTTAAACAGTCCACAGATCATCTTTAAGGAAGCCAAAATCTTATACGAAAAGCTAGGAGCTGATTTTGCCGATTTAAGAGGTGTAGGACTTCAGTTAACAAAATTAGAAAAGAATGCCCCAATTAATAAAGCCCTGACCAACTTTTTAAAACAGCACAACCAAATTAAAATAACAGAAAAAGCTTCGACTACTAGCAAAGATGTTGAAAAGGATTCGTTATTACCCTTGGAGCAACAAGAGAAAAAACCAAAGATTGTTGCAGCTACTACTGTGAAGCAAAAAGAAACTCCAAACGCGTCTATAGGTTCTAGAAGGGGTAGACCAAGAGGAGGTAAAAATAACACTACCAGAAAAGTAGGACCGAAGTCTTCAAATGTAATGACTGTAAATCAGTATTTTGGGCACGCTAAAAGTTCCGAGAGCAAATCTAAATTAAAGCAGGTAAGACTTTTCTCTTTTTTATTGTGTTATTAAATAGTTGTAGATTTAGGACAACTATACAAAATATTTATTACCCTTACGAAAGCTGCGAGACTGAGCTTCCCATGCTCGGTCGTGTTCGTTAATTTTGTAAGATGATCGATAACGACCGAGAGGGAGCTAAGGTAACAGGCAACACCCAGATATCTTAAGCCATCTACTGGTACACAAGATTCTGCCGGTAATGACCATCCCTTCTCTAGTTTCTCATATATATATATATATATATATATATATATATATATATATATATATATATATATATATATATGTGTGTGTGTGTGTGTGTGTGTTCGGATAAATTTCCGCGGTCAGATGACTTTTAGCAGTCAGAATGAAAATTACTTATGAACAACAAAAAAATGTCATTAGAAATAATTGTTTCAAAAAACTTCATGCTGCGTACAAAAACTTAACTTCCAATTCACATTTTCATCATCCAAATCACAATAGTTTAAAAATTCTAAATTCAATAAAAAGGAAAATAAAAAACCACAATTTAATAATATCTAAATCTGACAAAGGTAATTGCTTAGTAATTCTGGATCACACTGAATACACCAACAAAGTTTCCACTTTTTTGAATAACAATGGCTTCATAGTACTTCCACATGACCCACTGAACAGATTCATTAACAAACAAAAAGCCTTTTTAAAGAAATATTCTACTTTTTCCACAGATTTTCATGCACCATATTACAAAATCCCTAGTAATCCATTAATTCGATTGTATGGTCTTCCAAAAATCCACAAAGAGGGCATTCCAATCCGTCCAGTAGTCAGTTTCATCAACACCCCGGTCTCCATAATTTCTAAATTCATACTCAGAGTAATCAAGGACATAACAGGTTTTTCTCCCACTTTTTCCTTCAAAAATTCATCCGAACTAATATCTAAACTCAATCATATAAATCTCCTTCCAGATATGACTATGCTTTTATCGTCGGAGCGGGATAAGTATTTATAAAATTATACTTATCCGCTGGACGTTTTGTAGGGGCATTGTCTTGAAAAAGACAAATGCCTAAGGGTTATTTAATGTAAGGAATAAAAACAACCATTTCTAAGTAGAAAAAAACTCAGCTTCAGAGTCTTTTTAAACTTTTTGCAGAGTCCTCCAACGAGGAGCCCTGCGGCTACTCCGTAAGAGTAAAACCACGACTGACTGTAAATCGAAAATGTCCCATATTTAAAGTATATTTAACTTTTATATGAAACTTTTTACGATTTTTAACCAATAGAATTTATTAAAACTTCCAGAAGGAGGGACGATGCACGTCGATGCGCGAGATTGCGGCGCTCGGCGACACTTTCATTTGACGGTAGCAATCTCTTTACTTCTGTTCCTAAACTTGAAACTATTCAGTTAGTCCACAACCTTCTTACATCTAAATCAATTAATCCTTCAGTCAACACACCAATAATAGATACACTTTCCTTGTGTTTATCACAAGATTACTTTTCTTTCAATAACATTTTATATAAACAACCGTGATGGCTTAGCCATGGGAAGTTGTCTTTCCCCCTTCTTAGCTGACCTCTTCATGAATCATCTAGAATCCACTCAAATTATGACTAACAATACAATTCTACACTGGTTCCGTTACGTTGATGATTGCTTAGTGTTCATTAGAGGTAACTCAAATACTGCTTCTTCCTTACTAAATACTATCAATAATATTCACCCCAATATTAAATTCACTATGGAATTAGAATCAAACTTCTCCATCAATTTCTTGGACCTGTCCATCAATAGAATCAATAATGTCTTTGATTATAGCATCTACAGAAAACCTACACAAACAGATCATGTCATACATTTCAATTCTAACCATCCCATTTCACATAAATTATCTGCATTCAACAGTTTTATTCATCGTTTAGAAACCATCCCATTATCCAAAATTAACTACAACCAAGAACTAAACATAATCAAACAGATTGCTTTCAACAATGGCTACAACCCTGATATAATCCACAAACTCATTTATAAAAAGAAACGTAAATTGCTTCAACAATCAGCTTACCCTAACATTACTTTAGATTCCCCATCTTATTTCTCATTACCATTTCACTGTCCAACACCCTTTGAATCAATAAAAAACACTATCCTGAATTCTGTTGAAAATATTAAGATTTCCTTTAAAGTCAACAATAAATTGAGTAGATCATTATGCAATAGTAAGGACCCTATTGACTTCACCAAACGCAGTGGAGTTTATAAACTTCAGTGTTCTGACTGTGATGCCACTTAAATCGGTAGAACTTGTAGATCTCTAGTAACCAGGGCCATTGAACATTCTAAGTTAGAGAACACTTCTTCTTTTTCACATCATCTTAAATATCACAACCACACAATCAAGGTACCAGATGATATCTCTCTTCTTCATAACATCCCTGGTAGAGATTATCTCAAACTTGACCTTTTTGAGGATTTGGAAATAGTCAAGGAAAAGAAAAATAGTCCCAATTGTGTTAATCGTCACACCAGCATCAACAGAGACTTCGTCCCACTTCATCGACAATTATTCTCCTAATCTAACTTTCTCTCTTTTAACTACCCATCCAATTTTACTTCACTTCTACATTTCTTTTTATTTCCCATAGCTAAATTTCAACTTACATAATCATTCATACTTAACTCTATACTTGTCACCATTAATACACTAACATCACTCCCTTGCCAATATCCAACTACCCATCCTCTCCAATAACTACCATCTCACTTATCATACACATTTTCTTATAAATATTCATTTTACATCTATTAATCTCTTATCACAATCAGTTTTAATATCCCCAGCTTACATCGTTATATTCACCTTCTATTTCCTTTTCTTGCTTTCTCGTTTATTTCTTTTTTCTTTTTCTTTTCCTCTACTCATCTTCCATAAATTACAATCCTACTTTTATATATACTCATTTAATCATACACATACAATCATACACATTTTCTTATAAATATTCATTTTACATCTATCGATCTCTTATCACAATCAGTTTCAATATCCCCAGCTTACATCGTCACATTCACCTTCTATTTCCTTTTCTTACTTTCTCGTTTATTTCTTTTTCTTTTCCTCGACTCATCTTCCATAAATTACAATCCAACTTTTATATATACTCATTTAATACAACGAAACAATTAGGTAATAACATCCTTTTCATCCATTTAAAATGATTTATTAATTTTAACCACTTAAATTACATAAATTTTTTCCCTACCTTGGTATACCGATTTATTTTACATCGCAGTCACGCATTGATTTATATTCTCCCATCAGTTTTTTAAAATACCAAAAATTGCTTATGATCCTACTACACACAAAACACATTTCTTCACTAAAAACTGCCTACTCACAAACTTAAGCACAATGACTTTGCTCCTACCACATCATTCCTCTTGACATTGACGGGTACTAACTGATTTTTCATACCATCTTTCTATCAGTTAGCCCTAGACTCCAACACAGATCAGAGGTAATGTAAGTCAATAAAACCTCACCAACTACAGGGGGTCATATAAGATGCCCCCAGTTTCATTTTTTTATATTACACAAGTCAAGAGTCTATTGCATTTACCTGAATAAATAACATGAAGATTATTATTTTTTAAATCCAGATGTCCATCGAATGTTTTTTATGTGGCCACACAATGTTTTTTAACAACCTTTTTTATGTAAGTAGTAAAAAACCAACTTTTTCTTTTTGTATGTTCAAATTTTAACTTTGTTGTTTTTAATATTGGTATTTTTACTCTCTCTTTTAGTAAACTGATGATGGAATGATACAATTCCGAAAAGATCTTCTTTATAATAAAAAATTTTAAGCTTTTAATAAGCGCCTTTTTTTATACCTTAATACACACGAACACCACGTGCTTTGAAAATTACTTAGTTCTCGGGAAGAACCGCGTTGAGAATTTATTACTCGACACAATAATAATAATAAAAAGATATATATATTATATATATATATATATATATATATATTATATATTGCAAAGGTTTGGTAGCTGTAAGGATGGTGATGATGGGAGGACTCCCTCCTATCTTCACCATCCCCTAGAGAACGGGCATCCAGATGTTATCTAGGTTCTTATCTATCTTATCCAGAGTTTTTCCTTCCTTTATCCCACACTATACAATATTGTTGTAGTTGAGACTTGTGGCTCACAAAATGTGGCTTTATCGTCGAATCCTAAAGAGATCTTGTACCGACTTCGTCACCAACCGGGACGTTTTATTAAAAATGCAAAAAGAAAAAGAGCTGTTAACCAAAAACTGAAACTAATTTTACAGGGAAAAGTAGAAGGAAAACGAGGCCCAGAAAGATAAAGGATTTCCTGGCTGAAGAATCTACGTACCTGGTTTAACACAACAACCTCAACTCTTTTTTACAGCAGTAGTGTGCAAAGTATAGATTGCCATGATGGTTGCCAACATCCAAAACGGATAGGCACTACAGCACTTCCAGCGTCCTCTACGTACAATTTTTGTCTTCTACGTACAGTCCTGTAAAGTCCGGCAACCTTGTCCTAAATTTTCCCTTCACTCTCGCATAGGCTGCGTCATTTATTATCAGGGTTGCCACATCGTCCGGTGCCTGTAACGTTTCATTTTGGCAATTGGATACTTTTTCATATGCCTCTTCTTGCCATCCTTCATTTAATATTTCAATCACTTACTTGGTATTTTCTTCCAATTCCATTTGTTTGTGTAGTTCTTCTACGTAATCTTTGTGTTACAGAATCCACATAATATAGATATGCAGGTTTTTAATCAACTTCCAGAAAATCTAAAACAAGAGATTATTAGAGAATATCATCTAGAGGAACAAGTGACTCTTTCACAAGAAAATTCAGTTCCGAATTGTCAGCAAAATACTCTAATCCAAGATGCCAAGCCAGAGATACCAGAGAGAAAGACAAAAAGTTCGTCTCAAGAGTCCGTGGAACAAGGTACACTCTCATAATATTTGATTAGTTAGGTAAAGTAGGACAATTTTTTTATTTTAACAATTAGGCTCATGTTGCTTTTAAACCATGCAGGATTACAAGAATGTATTATTTATTACGAAATATATTATATGTGTACTAATATATCTTTTGTAGAATCTTCAAAGAAATCCCCATTCAGCAATTTATCTTGGGATCAAATAAAACCTATAATAAAAAAATGGACGTCATCCGAAGAGAGTCCCTGTGACTTCGACACTGAAATGCTTGCGGAGCACTTCAAACAATTAGCCGTTAACAGGAAAATAGAAGTATTGATGAGTGTCTTCAATTTTTTACATAGGTAAGTAAACTTGTGACGGGTAACTGTACTAGACACCAGACTCAGTAAAACGTAAGTTTAATCTAAATAAAAATATATTCAAATAAATAACAAAAATTATATTAACTTCTATATCATATGTACAATAAAAATGAAAAGACGAACCCTAGTAAATAAAATCTAGGGATCTGCGATCTGCTATTAATACCTGCGAAAAATAAATATTGGCAACACTTGGATGGATGAGGCAAATGACGATATTTTGGTCAATACCCAAAAACCGGGGAAGACTAGGAAATACTTAGTCTAGGTTAGAGGTGGCCGATCTATCACTACTCGATACGGACAAGGAACGGAGAAATCGATCGCAGACGGGGAACGGAAAGGACGGTTGGCTTTTGATTAATACTTAAAGACCCGAGGTAGAAGCTTTTATTAAATCAGTACTTCGGAACGAATTCGGTTCTCTGTATTGGTTTTCGGCGTTTAATATTTTGGCGGTGTTCCATCTCCAGCGCGCATCGATGGCAATGATGGGAGTGCATCAATGCAGAGAGATAGCAAGCTGGCGATGGGATCGTTACAAACTAGCCACCAATTCATCATAAAAAAATTGTCTATTTCATCGTTATTGACATGTAATTCATCACGCAATAAGTCCTAACTAATAAACTGGATACTCTTCTTGTAGGATGATATATTGATTTCAACGAGTTTATAACAATTTGATGCCTTTTTTTATAATACAATTTTTATATAATAAATCGATGGGAACACGATCTATTACGTATGTATATGTTGCTAAACTATTGATAATAGGGGAACATGTTGTACCTAGAGACAATTTTTACAATTAGATTTTTATAAATTAGACAAATAAAGATATTAAAAAATAATAAAATCTGGACAGTTGATCATACCTTTGTAAAGCTAATTCGAAAATGCCAATTTTCCAACTTATATATTTCTACCCATTTTATCACTTTTTTTGTATATATGTACGTATCCCTAATAACAACCGGTCTGTTGTACCTACGGACACGGAAAGTTGTACCTAGGGACACGAGTTGAAATACCTGTACAACCAGAATTTAATGTGTAAAACAAAAATACCTCCTAATATTCCTAAAAATTTTATTGAAAATATAAACTGCTAATAATACACAGACTACCCTAAATTAATTTTATCAAAAGATATTGGAAAGATAAATGTGTTTGACTGTCGAGAGGATAAACCTGCTGTACGTGGTTGAGGAAGTTTTTGTATAATATTGCTGATGTTAGTTGTATATTCCTTTTCATCTTCAACCGTAAATGTATTGCCATGTGCAAAGGAATGAACTTTCTTTAAATATTTTATTTGGAACTCTGTTTCGTCCACCTTTCCTGATATTGCGGCTACAAAATATCCTGAATGCTTTTTCCCTTTTAAGTGCACCAAAATGAAATCACCTTTCTGAAGATCATCTGGAGTAAATTGAATGGAATCAATTTCTAAATCTGACAAAGAATTATCATTAAAATTACTGCTGTCACTTCTAATCTCAAAATCAATTTGATCTTCCTCTGACGACGTTTCTTCAATATTTAACTTACGTTTTACTTTTTTTGTTTTTTGCAGTTCGTTTTTGCTCTTATTTTTCATACTATTATACTTTCCTTTATTTCATTAAATTCTGGGGTGTTGGTAAGAATGAGAGACCTTCCTTTTTTGCGCCCCTTAAAAACGTTCCTTTTGCGCGGCAAAGCTTTTGGAGTGGGACGAACCTCATATGGTGAAATAAATCTTGACATAACAGGAATTGGTTCTTGAAAATCCAACTTAGCTTCTGGTGTGGAAGATGACGTTAAACCAGAACATGAAGGCTTAGGGTCTGTTTCGGAAGCATCACAATGCGGTGGGTCAGGGTCAGAATAAACAGGAAGGGTTGGTGGAGGGTTGTGTAAATATGGATCCTCTCGATCGGTTATGTTAGATGGCAAAAAGTTTTGTTCAGTAAAAATATCACTGTTTAAGGGGTATAGACCTGATACTTGAAAGCCCTTGGTTATATTGTTTGGACTAAATGCCTTCAAGTATGCCGTATTTTCCAATTCTGCTACGTCGTAAATGGTAACTGGTTTCCCTGCGTTACCAAGAGAACTCATCCAATTAGTCATTGCATTATTGTAGTAAGACTTAAAGGGTCCAAAACAGATAAATCGAGAGGTTGCAATCGGTGTGATGTATGGGGATGAAAAGTAACTAAAATGACTCCCGAACGCTTTGCCAAGTTAATAGTGGGTATGGAAACATGGCTTTCATAGTTATCTAACAATAAAATAACCTTATCCTGCAAAGTAGGTTTAACATGTGATGTGAAATGTTCTAGGAATTTAAAAAATACATCTTCATTGGACCATCCACTCGGATTTGCAGCTCCTATTGCTCCAGGTGGTGCCCCTTTCAACATGTGATTTTAAAATTCACTCTCGGAAACACAAATAAAGGCGGCACAGTATTTCCAGCAGCATTAATACAACATATCACAGTAACTAGAACACCTCTTTCTCCAGATGTCATTCCTCCTATTTGCCTTTGTCCTTTTGGTGCTAAAATTTTAGGAGGTTGTTGCACAGTAGTAATACCCGTCCCATCGATGTTAAAAATGTTTGATGGTTCAAAGTTTCCTTTACTCAACGCATTTTTATATGATTGAAAGAAAATAGCAACTGTTTTCTTTATTGAATGCAGTTGCTCTGGCCAAACTTGTACTCTCGGGTTTTCTAAGTGACAGAGATGCAAAATGTCTATTTCGGAAACCTCTAAGCCAATTATTTCCTGCTTCTTTTGTATCGTCCCAGCAAGCAGGATATTTTTTTATTTTGCTTTGCATATTCATATGCCATTTTTTTAACGTTTATCAAACTTAGGCCATAATGCATTCTAGCAGCTGTTTTTAAATAGTTTACCAGCTCCGTTTCCTCGGCTTCATTAAAAACTTGCTTAACTTTATAATTCGGACTGTATATAAAATTGTTTTGCTCTGATGTTTTAAAATTTTTAATGTGTCTTGCTAATGCATGCTTGCAACCAAATTGGCTCGCTGCGGCACGAATTGAAAGACTTGAACTTCACGAACAGCATTCTCTACAGTGACTTTTAAAGGTCCCGGTCTTCTCTTCTTTTCTTTACTTCTTGGCATAATGAGCTCCTGAAACAAAACATTGTTTGGTACTAATACTTTTAATAATGTACCTGGGACGGCCCCAGGTACAACAAAATGCATGTCCCTAGGTACAACAGGAGGACTCCATGTATAAAAGCAGTCGAATAAGTCGTTAGCCACAACAAATACAACGGTTTGATTAGTGGATTAGGTAGTCTAAATTACGATTAATATCACACTAACATGATTATTTACTACAGTCAAATTGATAATTTGCAATAAGACGAAACAGCCGGAAAAAATAGTTACTTTGGACGTAAAAAATTACAAAATGGCCACAGCCACAGCCACCTTTACTTCCAAGCCATGAAGTAAAAAAGGCAACACCGCATTCTATGACGTCGGTAGTCCGATAATCAGCCTGTAAGGTCTACCAGAATATTATCAAAGAATATAGACGCTTATAGCTTAAGCGTCTATATTCTTTGATATTATACTAATTTGAATTTTAGGAATCTAATATTTTGAAAACTTCAATTCATTACAGAAATATTTTTAGGGAAATTAAATTAATAAAATCTTATATATACCTAGTAAATATATATAAAGTTTTATTATTATTTAGGTTATATTATCAATAAAATAATCACTAGAGTAAAATTTATTGCACTTAAAATACAGTGTCAAACAGTTAATCTTACAATCAAATGCAGTCAAGAATCTCTAGAAATTTTAAATATTAACTACTTAAGCATATAAACAACACAATACATTAACACGACATTTAAAAAGATTATTAAAAATACAAAAGATATGGTTCTAAATTAATCTAATTGAAAATTAAATATTTTACTATTTACTTATAACTTTTGTTGAATTTTCATACTTAGCAGATATACAAAAGTAGCAATTTTAAATATGAATAGGTTTGTTGTCATATAGACCAAGTTAAAAGAGGTATACATGAAAAATGTGTTGAATGTAACACACCATTTATAACTTGTATATCAATTTAAAATAGCCTATATTCTCAAAAGATTTTTGAATGTGATACTCAAATTTGTTATCACTTATCTAAAAAGCAGATCTAATCCAGTAAGTAAGTTCTCTAATTGTGACCATCTTGTTAGTTTACTAGGTATATTGTAAAATCCATTTCAAATCATTACCACTTAATCTATTCTTACCTACATTGACGATTACACTAAAATTACTGCTAACTATTACACTACATATTACACAAATATTATCACACTGGTGTCCCAACTGATTAATGTTTAATACATAGAAATATACACAGTCACTTGTAATTTTACTTGTCCAGTTTTTCAATGGGATATTATTGTCTAAGTCTAATTGACATAATTAGGTATGTTATCTCTTGTTACCTCTTCTTATGCAATAAGTTTCTTCTGTCTTCGGGATTCCTTCTTTCTTTAGTATGATGAACAGTTACATATGATGGTACTTCAGGAAATATATTAGGAACTGCATTGCCTTTTAATTTGGGAAATATTAACTTTTCAATGTGTAAATTTCCATCTTTATCTTCTCATTGTTCAGTCCGCTGAATACTATCTTCATGAAAAAGTTTGGCACATACTCCAGAAGATTTGGTAATTGTACAGCCTTCTCTATGAATAGAGATTGGTTTTGCAACCAGGTACACAACAATGCCAGAGCATCTGTAACAAAAAACAAAAGTATTATTATTGTTGTTTTTAGTTTACATATTTTGTAACAAGAAGCAAAAGTATTATTATTTTCAGTTTGTTTTGTAGGTTATATTTATACTTGCCTGTCGTTAAGAATCTTCCTAAAAGTTCTAAATTTAATGAAATTTCACTTATATTAATATTTTCTAATTGATTTAAACACAATTTACAAATAAAACATTCGAATAAAGTTAAAAAAACAATAAATTCATCAAACTTTACAAGCCTTCCTATATGAAATGTTAAACCAAAACAAACCACAGCCTCGGACTACCACGCGTTGTTGCCAAATTTCTACTTCATGGCTTGGAAGTAAAGGTGGCTGTGCCACAGCTTGTGTTAACACTTCACGAACTATGCACAACTGAATACCATTTTCGGATATATTTTGTAAATCTAAGGTTTATTGATTGTTGCAATGAAGCTGATTAGTCGAATAAAATAAGTAATGTATGTCCATGCGTTTGTTTTTAGAGTTTTTTCCGAGTTGAATTGCAGCTGGCATAATTCTTACTTCAAGATGGTGAATATAACCCAAGAAGGAATGGTTGCTCGATATGGCCGCACTTTATTAGTGAAAAGGAAATTTAATTGTTGTGGGATGTAAACCATCTACTGCTTGAAATGGCGTATAGTGAAAAAAAGAAGAAAATTTGTACTACCTTAAAATAAACTGTGATATATGTATTAAAATTTGATTACCATTTTTTATTAATAAAATCTGTTAACACGTTATATTTATAATTTAATAATTCTCCCAGGTAACAATGTAATTTCAAAATACTAAATAGCTTAAAGTATATCTGTGTCCAAATAAAAGGCAATTTCCTGAAGGCTACAGGTTACTATATTTACATATACCTAAACTAATTTATCAGGTTAAGCGCCATGGCGAACACAAGTGTCCGATTTGAAATTTGCCGCCTGGGCCACGGCGGACACCGGTGTCCTCTTGACTTTAAAATTTTCATCATCCTTACCCGCCGAGAGGACACGATTTTATGCGGTTTTAACATAGGAATGTGTCCACTATGGCCCTGCAATATAGAATGTTGAAACAGATTCTGTGTAGCAGTTCCGATTAGAAAAATCTGATGTAAAAACTAACTTGAGATATTTCATTCAATATAGAAATAAGAATACCTACATTTAGTAACAAATTGTATTAAACAATAAGCTATAGAAATACATATCTATAATAGATATGTATATACATTTATTTCAAAAAAAAATTAATGAGTTTTATGAAATAAATTGAAATATTTCAGACAAGCCTAGGACTATTGTCGCACTGGGCACAGTACGTTATTACTTTCTTCACTTTATTTTTATCTATCAGTCCATCCTGTTTTCTCTTTTAACATCCCTTTCAGTACCTTCTATATTCCCGTGCCTAACAGTCTAATTTTATAAATACGTGAGCATTGAGGTTTACTTTTGTACGACGTGTACGTTCATAAAACTGGCCGCCTTCAAATTTTAACAATTCTTCAATAACTGCATATAGAAAATAATTTATGGATATGTTGGTCTGTTCGGAATCCTTGTAGATGAAATTTTCATTAACAATTAAAATACCTAATAAATTTTCTATAGCTATTTTTGTACCAACGGACAGTTAGTCGCAGCGCCGTATCTACTCGACATCTGATCAAATAAATCAATGGAGCTTTTACCTGAATTATAATTATTACCGTTTTCGGTTTGAATATTATTTCCCCGACGTTGAAGTTGGACCATTTCAGCGTTGTGGCAGGTGGATAAAACCAAAACATCTTTTTTGTCATGCCACTTGAGGACACATATTCCTCTTTCATTTTCTCTGGCAATTACTTCACCTTTTTAAGTTTTTTATTTATTACTTCGGCTGGATTACCCTTGCGATTATTTTGCAAAGTTCTCAGACAATAGGTGTTGTTATCCACAAGTGTGAGCGCTAATTGAAGGCTTGTATACCAGTTATCAGTTAAACAAATTCTAACAGACCCTAAAAACCTCTCGACAGTTTTATCACTGCACTGGATAATTCACCTTGCTTCTCTTTGCCTGCATATACACTTAGGTTCCACGTATAACCATTCTGAGTACATAATTTAAATGTGTTAATGCCATCTTTATGGCACTTTTGTGGATTATACTACCTGAAAAGTAAACGTCCCTGAAACGGAAATCATGGTTTCAGCAATGCAAAATCTTTTCGTTTCAACGTAACTCAAATCGTTTGCGGCTTCACACATATCCAGTCGCGGGTTACACGGCACCGTGTACATATTAATCGATGCTTCCACACATACCGTGCTCGTTTAAACGGTAACCGTGATGTCACCGGGCATACCCACTATAAGCCCGGACAAACGTTGACGTATACACGGCGATCGAGCACGTAGTGGGATCAAATTAAATTTGTTCATATCTATGCATTCTTTCCAAAAAAGACATGTAATAGAGTCCACGACTTCCTTGAAAGTAGAAGATTATTAGACTTTTTCGAAAGTAGAAGGAATTTTTGTTGTGATTAACTTATATGAAAAATGGCTGATGTGGAAATTGATACAGAGCACTTAATAAGTTTGGTGCATGGAAGACCTGTAATATGGGAAAACCTTGTAGGGAAATGAAGAATAACTTTGAGGAGTTGGAATCTGATGAAAAGTTCGGTAAGTTTGTGTGGGTATTTCTTTATTATTGCTTAATTAAATACGAAAGTAAAAACATAGGTGTGTGTATGCATATATTTACTTATATACTAACAAGAAATTTTGGTCATCTGCCATTTTAAAGATCCAATAGGTGTCGGAAAATAATCACTTACAATATTTCTTATGTTATTTGCGTTAATACTCCCACGTACAGTTTCTGCTCTAGGGATATCTTCAAGCCCCGTGATGGTTAAAGTATTCTCTGATTCATATCAGTCTCTATTGCGAACAAAGTTATGTAACACAACACAAGCCTTCACAATATCGACAGCATAATTAGGATTCAAAGGTCGATGAAAAATTCGCCACTTATTACTTAATATCCCAAAAGTACACTCCACATATCTTCGGGCTCTAGAGAGACGACAATAAAAAACTTTTTTCTTGATATTTTAAGTTATGTCCACCGTAAAGTCTAAGATGTCTATCAAGTGCAATAACTTCGTCTGCAATTAAGACATAGGGTACTATGTCAATAGTATCCTACCCATGGACGTATAAATTTATACGTCCATTGATCCTACCTACTACTATAGGGCAATAAAGACATAGGGCACTTTAGGCCTCATTGATCCTGGTAGACATGTTTCGTCAGGAATTTCTAGTTCCTTGTTTTTTATGGATTTCCATAAGGAACAGGTCTTAAATATATCCGAATGGCAATCTTTTCCGTAACTTCCAATATATACGTAGATAAAACGATAATTGAAATCTGCTACAGCCATTAAAACTATTGAAGAGTACCCTTTATAATTGAAGTACATTGAACCTATCGGATTGATAATTCGAATGTGCTTTTCATCAACTGCTCCTAAGCAGTGTATAAAATTTGCTCTATTTTGAAATCCTTCGGCAGTTCTGAGCCAGTCTTGTTTCTGTGGTTCGGGAATACACTCAGAACGCATAATTAACCATATGTTATTGCATACCTTTTTAACAATGCTGCTTATTGTGGAAATACCAAGTCGAGAACTGTAGTGTAGATCCGTGAAAGTACAGCCACTGGCAAGATATGTGCACAAAACAGTAGTAGTAATAACCAGTTTTTTTTGTTGTTGCAGGTAAACAGGTGATGAAAAATGGGGAAATATCCGTGATACGTTTCCAAAAACTTGTAAAAAAATTAAGATAGCTACAATATCGGGAGCTGGGACAGTAACTCATAAAAAGTATATTTATAACGAGCAATTACAATTCTTAAAAAAGGTATTTGGGGAACGCCAAACAGAAGATAGTTTAACTAACACTGGACTATCAGAAGCAGCAACATCTGACACTAGTTTCAGCAATAAAATACCGCTGCCAATGTAACTACTCCACATGCTTACAAATTTTCAGGAAGAAAACGCAAAGCAGACCCTGTTGAATTTCAAATGATTTGAAGCTCTTAAGGAGAAACCTGATCGTCATATGTCCTTTTTTGCTGGTATAATTTCTTCGTTACAAAATTTCAATGAATTTGAGATATTGGAATTTCAGATGGGAGTACTGCAATCAACGACAAGATGATTGAAGAGCGATTGATTTCATTTAATGTTAAATATCAATCACATTGTCAACACCATATTATAATAAACAATAATAAATTCGAATGTGTTTTTACTTACCTAACTGCTAACATTTGCATTGGGTTAATGCATTCTCTCATAAATGTGTTTTACTTCAGAAGAGAATCCTTTAACCGATGATGTAGTTCATCAAACGTGAATATTGTCATCCTAAAGTAATTAAACAATTTGTTCTCATCTTCTCGCAGTTCCAAGAAAAGAGTATAAAATGCACCAAACTCTTTCCTTTTTATATTAATGGGATAAATCCACACATTTCTAGTTCTCTTTCTTCTCATTATACGCCGATAGAGAATCATCAAATAAGAGCTAGGATAGAAATATCAAGAAATGCGTTTGAAAAAATGAAAACAATTCTCTGCAACAAAGATCTTAGATTAGAACTGAGAGTAAGAGCACTGAGATGCTACGTGTTTTCGATACTGCAATATGGACATTGAAGCAAGAACACATAAATAAGTTACAGTCCTTTGAAATGTGGTGTTACAGGAGGATGCTTAGAATAGCATGGACACAGAAGAAAACTAATACGGAAGTATTGCGAGAAATGGGCAAAGAATGCGAAATAATACACACAATAAAAATAAGAAAGTTACAATATCTGGGACACGTAATGAGGGCGCAGCGATATGAACTGCTAAGGCTGATAAACAGGAAAAGATAAGAGGAGGAATGAGTATAGGAAGAAGGAGAGTGAGTAGATAAAGTAAAGATAGTGATTATGATATCCAACCTCCAATTGGGAGACGGCACTTAGAGAAGAGAATCATCATGGCAATGATGTGTTTTCGATTCATAGTGAACATCGACTAACATTTCGGCACGGACCACAAAACCGTTTAAGTGTGAAATCTCGCCAAACCGTCTAACGGTGCCGTGTAATCGGCGCTCGGGTGTGTATGAAGCAGCTCTTATGCTATTGTACCGTTAGCTATATCGTTAGACAGTGCCGTAACCGAGGAGGTAACAGTGGAAATTGAAACAACCAATAATTCTTCAAGTGCCCTCTCCGCTACGAAGTTTGGCAATCATCATTGCTATTCGTATCTTTGAAGCAGTTGCTTTAAATAATTGGTTAGATGTGCACTGGAACCAGTTTCTTAAATTGCGCAGCCAAGATATACGTCGTCTCCCCATGCTTCGTTTGTCCTGAATCTTTCCTTGGATAATTAACTGGAGCAATCGGTACTTATAATTATATAAGTACCGGCCAATAATTATAAAATGTATTTTCATTACAATAAATTATGGCTTAATCCTATATTAACATAATATTTATTCTTGATCCAATGTTTATTAATTACATGAGTTAAGTTGTGATATAAAAACGTTTATTAATATACATAAATAATTAAATCGTCAACATCATCCTCTTTACGACACGTTAGTACTGACAAGAATAGACAAAGGGAACTTATTTTATATAAGATCAAAATAGAATAATACCATTAGATTCATAATATTTTATTAAAATGTTTAGGCATAACTCTATTTTTATATAAATCTTATTTGTATATTATTAAATAATAAAACTACACTATATTATCTAATTTGTGCTTTAAGTCTTTGGTTTTCTCAAGAACATCATCAATGAAGGGTCTTTCGGATGGATTTACTTTCAAAATAAAGCGGATTAAATCGTGAACATCCTAAAAAAAATTTTAAAAAATTACTAAACTAAATCTGAAAATCGCAGTCCTTTATTAAACATATTTTATATATCTAATTATTTTTTGTTACTTTTATACTTAAACATTGAATCACTTAAGACTTGTTTATCCTATTAATATAGTTTGTCACGTTTCCTGTTTGTTTTTAATTATTTTTCAAATTTACTGTTTTCAAAGAGTATATATTTGCATTTATTTGATATAGACTTTATCAGTTTTGTCCACAATCTCAATATATCTTCAATACTTCTTAATATTTGTTATTTGATATCTCCCAGCTAAGAGCTACTTTCTTTTTCATAACTTCAATGGACCCAAATATTTGTTTCTTGCTTCTCAATGAGAAACCTCTTTGTAGACAAAGGGGGATAATCCGACATTGATGTTTTGAATTGCTCATTCGACATTTTTGTTTCTCAATCAAGTTAAGATATTCAGTACATTTATAAACGCTCTGTTTTAAGATCAAGATTAAAAAAAAATTACGACCAGTCACGTTACTATACGTTACAGTAAATTTGGGTATCTCTAAAATAGTGCTAAAGCCCCAATCGAGCCTTGGCCTTCTCCAAACTATGCCTCCAACTTTGCCGGATCCGCGCCGATCTTCTCCAAGTTCTCACGCTAGCAAATTCTGCGCGTCCGCTGCCACTTCACCCTCCCACCTTTTCCGTGGCCTTCCTTTTGGTCTTGTGCCCTGCATTTTACTTTCTAGGGCTCTTTTTGGCAATCTTTCAGTCTCCATTCTCACTACATGAACAGCCCATTGAAGTCTCCGAAGTTTAACGAATTCTGAAATCGGTGCCTCTTTGAACAGTTTCTAAAGTTCATGGTAAAGTAAAGTTGGGTAACATTAAATGAAAATCATGTCAATAAAAATATTTTTGGAGTCTCTTGTTCATATGTGAAAATAATAGATGCAATATAAGAACATATTTTGTAATTGTTATGTAAAATTGGGTGTATACTCAATTCGTTCAGCTCGGGCATATTTTGACAGATTCATTGTCAGAAACCTACAATACAACAATTCCAACTTCTCAGTATTAATAGCTCAAGTATACTACTATTGCAGACTTGTTTCTTTGAAAAAAAAAAGAAGAATTATTCTAAATAGTGGAAGTGTATACTAAACCCATCAAATTTTGGGTAGTATATATTTAAAAAAATATATTTTAGTTGTTATAATTTAACATAACTATTTATTATATGGTGCAGATAAATAAATATTGATTGTCAGTAATTCGCAAAGTTCTATTTTATTAACTATTTGGTTTGTTTACTATTAATATTGGATATGAGTATGTGTGCTTAGTTGTATAGTAATTTCCAGCCACTTTTAGTCTGTCAAAAGTAACTAACTTCGCAAAAAATAATTACTAAATTCACTAGACAGTTTGGACTGGGAATAGCGAACTGAGTATACACATTATTTGTCAATTCCTACACTTTCAGCAAACCCATAAATGCTTAACTGATGGTCAAGGTGAATCAGATTACCGATTTTCTGATATTTTATACCAACATTTCTTAAATAAGATTTAATAGCGTTTATTCCTGGTTTAATATGACATTTTGCAAAAATTTGTCACTTAACATTTTTTTGGTATATCAAAAAATCAACTCTCATACAAGACTGTTATTACAGGTCTATAAGTTTGTTTACAAACTTGCATTGTACTGCATTCGAATGAGAAGGCTTCATACTAGATGATTGTCTCTCACATATCTTTTTCTATAACAGTGTCAGTCTCGTTATTTAATAGACACTACTTAGGATGTTGTTCCAAGTTACAAAATTTGCACATCATAATATTAGTTTGGTATTACAGTGATCATTTTTAAAAAGAATACAAAAATTGTTTGATACTTACTTCACTAAAATGTGCGTCTTGTGGAAAGGAAATAGTTCCTGATATCACAGCCAAATTTACGGAATCCCCTCTCTCATATACTATATCATAGGGGGATTTGAAGTACAACATCGCATACAATACACAACCCAAACTCTGAAAATTAACAAACACATACATGAAAATTGAGAATTGTTACAATATGCAGTTTTATATGAAATAATGAAACACAAGGTATGGGAAAAACCCACAATTTTAAATAAAATACACATATTGTCTTACAATTACTTGGAAATAAAAAAAATTCTAGAAAAATAATAGTTTAATTTTATTTGCCTTACACAGTCCCACAAAATCACAGTTCAGATATATATGTTTTAAATTAGAGGACTTCAAAATGGCATTGCCTGTATTTTTAAACTGTGTTCTTGATACAACTTTATAGGAGAATATTTCATTTGATTATATGAAATTAACTTTAGTTTAAGAACATCTGACAGAAAAAATAACGCCTAGATGGCTGACACCTAGACAGTAAAATTTTCTTAGTAATTTCGTTGTAAATCATAATAAAAAAACAAGAAAAAAATCATGGTACTATCATGCCATAATAAGTATTTGGTCTTACATTTAGTTTACTACCAATATTGATATCCATATATTGATACCATTGATGTTATTGACTCACTAATGGTGATTTTTATTGATTTTTCGCAGTAAAATTTCACCGACAAATTTCCACTGAGAAATTAGAACTTTTGTACAACAAGATATATAAAAACTTGCAGTTTTCAGTTGAGATATACTCACACTGAAGTATTACTGGATAAAATAAATATGGTATCACAGATAAAACAATTTTTATCAATTAGATCATATTAACATCATTTAAAAAGTGATTTCATAAAGCAAACTTGGATTTAAAGAAAGGAATGTTAAAAGTTGTTAAGAAAAAAAAATAAAAGTATAATACAACATCTACTTTGTTTATCTTTATTAGACAACACCCTAATATGGGTTTTTATCATTTCAGCATTTATTTAACTTTGTATCGAGACCTGAAGATGCTTTGCATATTGTAGAAAGCGAAACTGGTCGTCTGACAGTTAAATTAAATTAATTGTGAGTAAGTCTTATTTATTATTTCTTTACCTATTTGAAATGTACTCACAAAAGCAACACATTCATGATTTGTATATATTAGCTTCTTTACTATCTGTTAACATGTATCTTACCCAAATATCAACTCTCTGATCAATTACACAGTAGCTCTCAACATGGAATAGTTCAGGAGCTCTGTATGTCATAGAACATCTTTCAGCAGCCAAATCTTGCAATTTTTGGGCATCTTGAGCTCCACAAACTTGAACTTTGGCTGGAGCGCATGATCCTAAAATTAGAACACTTAAAATATTAATTTCATATATTTTAAAATTACTACAATTAAACATTACCTAAATCCATCAGAATAGGATCCATATGTTCTGTTAAACATATATTAGCAGTTTTTATATCTCTGTGAGCTATGGGATCTGGTGTAAAATCATGAAGGAATTTTAAAGCTTGACAAATTTCAAAAAAAATTCTCAAGACATCCTTAACATCTAAATAATTTTTATTAAAAGATCTTAAAGTGAGGTAATCATGTAAAGTACCTCTTTTGTAATAAGGAAGCACTAGAAATGCTTCTGATGTAGCATGTACCACAATATCTGCAGATCCTAGAATTTAGTTTAATTAGAAACATTACGCCTCACACAACATTCTTATATTTTATTTACCTTTAAAAGTGGAATCTACAAGTTCTATAATATTAGGGTGTCTAAGTTTCTTGTAATAATTTATTTCTTGCATTGCTATTTTCTGATCTTCTATACTGTGGCATGTTATTCTTTTTAGAGCGTATTTTTTTTTCGTTGTACTATTTTCAACCAGATCTACACAGGAAAATCCCCTAAAAAATATAAAAGATGTTCTTAAATTCCAGATGTTCATGTTTCATTGGTTTACCCTTCTCCTAATCGTTCTAATACCACATATCTTATTCCGTTTATACTTAGGTTTTCTTTTGCACAGATACAACCCATTTTCAATATCATACTAAGTCCCAAAGTATTCATTTCAAGTTATCTCTAAAATTATTGAATTTGCTGGCTTATAACTCATAATTTAACTACACACACAACAGAGAATTAAAGTGCCTGTACAACTCGTACAACTTAGTCGTAGTCGTCACGTCACTATATACACTGTGTCAGTGTCACTGATTAGACATGTTGTAAATGGTCATGTTCGTCCAGAGTACATAGCCACAGTATATTGCTAAAGAAATATTATATGCTAAAGTATGATTAAACTTTGAGTTAGCCGATTATGATGGTATGATTTTGGTATTTAGTATGATCTTATTTTGGATAAGTATTAGTAGTTCGTATTTTGGAATGCTGTGTTCTGGACTTTACTATAGTTTGTCATAATATGTGAATGTACTGTGGTTACTTTTCATCCATGCCCTTGCTATGAATAATTGTACACTTAAATGCCGAGGATTTTATGTCATTACCGTTGTCAAATATAACAGATGGTTCAATTTATTATTAAAAATTCTAAAAACAAGTAAAATTGGGTTAAAACATGTCAATCAGTGTTATTGTGGCTAAAACTCCCAAACAGCGGATTTTTTAATCCATGGGCCTTCTCATTTGCCTTATTTTATTGTGTTACGTGGGGTGCTATCATAAGATGAACCGCGTAGCTTGCCTTGCGCCCGAGCTTTGAACACCGTCTCTTGAATGTCTTCTCCCAGGGCTTTCCGAGGTCTGTCCTCCGAACTGCCCAGACACTACAGCACTGATCACAAAAATCACAGTACCACTACTACGACTGGGACCAGGGAACGGTTCATTTAATCACCGTCGATGGTGACATTATTCTAGTGGGGAACATTTTCCGACATGTTAATAAGAAATATAAAATTTTTGGCCTTTGAAATTACCATTAATACAAATTAATGAAACACCAGATTGCAACATCGCCAAAAATAAAGTAATGTCGAAGATTTTACAGTTATGCAAATTAATCGATTGGGATGAATGTAGATACATTGCCACGAGAAGTCATTACAGGGACTGGACGGACTTTGAAATCCAGTGACAATCAAAAACATTTTTGGTAGGGCCATGATTCCATTTTCGGACTGCTCCTTATTTAATTACTATTAAACTGGGAATAAGCCACAATTAAAGATAAAAATACGTTTATTGACGTTTCAACTTCCACTTCGGAAATCGTTCTCAAAATACAAACAGTAAATTAAACAACTTTTGTTTTTTGTTACATAGTGAAAAATTCTTCTAATAATTTAATTTTATCTGACTCATTTATATTGACAATTCATATTTAATTTAACTTATTTAACTGCAGCAGACACACAAATTAACGCATGCCAAACATCATCCAATTTGTGACGGCATGTAAAGATGCTATAATTGACAAATACCATGCAATTGTTTTTGCAAAAAGTTCAATTGCGTGAGTTTTTACTACGCTGCGTAAGTGAATACTAGCACTAACAATGAACCTACAAGCCGTAAAATTGTGCCCATATGTACCAGCGAACAAAATGTACTTTAAAACAAATACCTATACCGTCGATGATGGCGTGGCCTAGGTGGGGGGGTTGGCGCGAACATTTCCGACTGTGGAATTTTGATTCGAGGATAAAGGGGGCGATATTTTCTTTATCAGAGGTCTTCATGTAGAAGGTAACCGTATGGCGTCATCTCTTTTATTAAGACAATTTGGCCTTTTTTCTATTTCTATGGCTTCTCGGATAATTCTTGGTTTATAGAAGCGGATGGGGGCTATGGTTCTGGAGTTTTCAAAATCAATTTTATGACCTGTATGAAGATGGTGTTTGACCGAGAGCTGAAATTGAATCAGAATTGCGAACAGAAATGGAATGTTCATAAATCCTATTTTGAATTCTACGATTTGTTTGGCCTATATAGGATCGGGGACAGTCTGCACAAGGTATTTCATAAACTCCGTGTTGTTCATTTGGAATACTGTCTTTGATAGATCGGACAAGAGATGAAAGTTTTTGTTGGGGAGTAAATATTGTTTTTATTCCTCTTGGTTTCAGAATTCTGTCGATTTTGTCAGTGACACCCTTGATATAAGGAAGAAAAGCTTTCGTATGAAAAAGGGTCTGAGTCTTTGGGTTGAGAATGAGTGGGAGATTGATGTCTGTGAATGCTCCTATTGATGTGATTTTCGCGGTAACCGTTTTGGATTAGGGCTTGTTTTAAACAAGAGAGCTCAGCGGGTCTACTTGCATCATCGGAAAGGCGTATTGATCTAGAGACAAGGGTATTAATGGCTGAATTAATTTGTGAAGGTGGATGGTGAGAGTTGGCATGCAAGTAACGATTGGTATGTGTGGGTTTTCGATAAACAGAGTAATGGAAACCTTGAGATTGGTTTTTTCTTGATGAAAACATCGAGAAACGGTAGGGATGAATCAGTTTCCATCTCCATCGTGAACTGGATGCTAGGATGTATACCATTCAGATGAGTTTGATGAGTTATGTATATATATATATATATATATATATATATATATATATATATATATATATATATATATATATATAATATATATATACAGTATAGGTAAGAGTTTATGGTCGGTATGGACCTTACATGAGATGGAGTGAGAAACAACTGTTTAAAAAGAGAGAGATATATTAGGTGTCCGCCTTTTATATCACCGAACATAAATGAGTGGATATGAGTGGATATAATAAAAAGGGGAAATTTAACGTTGCCAAACTTATTGGTTTTATTTGACCTGTTGTCTTTTTCGCATTTGAACAATGCTCCAAGATAATAAAATTTGGGCGAAATGGATTTAAATGGCAGCTTATTGTATTTTATTGGGAATATGCCACAATTTCACTTTACAATAAGTGTAATATAACATTTTGATTTATACTTCGGAAATCGTTTTATATAAATAAAATTTATTAATGTTTGGTATTTTAAAAACTATTTCCGAATTAAAAATCTAAACATCAAAATAAGCTTATTTTAAAGTGACATTATGCCTTATTTCCAATAAAAATATTAAACTGCATATAAATAAAAAAGCTTCGTACAAAACTATTTGCCAACGTGGCGTGTCGCGTGGTCAACTCACCGAATCAAAACGTACACAGGTATTTACGAATAGAGGTGGGTCATTGACGTCGCAAAACCGATTTTCGTAAACAAGTAACTATGATTTTTTAATAGTAGTTTCAAGTAAGAAACTACCTACATAAACAAACATAATGGCTATTATCGTTTATCTGTATATTTATTGAAGTGAAGGAAACTAATAAAATATTTTATTATAACTTGAAACTAAACTAAACAATACAAATAGTAAATCGTACCTACGTTTACATTACACGTTATTATTAAATCACGAATCGTCTAAATTGACATTTAAAAACATAAGTTTTTTTTTCTTTACTTCTTATTAATTGTGTTTTTCTTTTATTTAAAATTAAACCTGATTTTGAACATGTGTTCACATTTACAATACTTTATGAATATAGTGGTTAAGTTAGGAGATACATGGCGATGGTTTTTCCACCATTGTAATGGACTCTCGCTACAGGTGTACGTTTAGATGAGTCATGTCCAATTAATTGATCAAAAATACACCATGGACTTAAGTCATCTTTATCGGTTTCTTTTTCTTATACTGGTTGATTTTCAATAGTACAATCTTCTTGTTCTTTAATTATAGAAGTAACCAGCTTCTTAACTCTTTCTTTTGTTTTTTTAGCGTCATTTTTATCAGAAAATCCCTGCACTTTAATCGTGAATCCATAAACGGACATAATGACAATATGCCACTGTTATTCTATCCCTCTAAATCTTTTTGCTAAACCCGAGATTAGTAATTATCCCGTAATTAGTAATAAAAACCCGTACTACGTCGGATACTAACTATGGATGTAAGGTTACTGTTTGCTAAAATTTTATTGCAAGATTTTTGCAGGCAGCGTACCAGAACAATCACTGAACTATCATTCAAGTATTTTTGGCCACTCATTGTACTTGTTATTTCCTTTAAAAGGCCGTAAAATTTAGGACAATTACGAAAAAATAATCCAGTCTTCATTATTTAGATTTGGTCTAAGTCTGTATTAACTGATACCAATGTGGAACGGATTGCCTCTTCTAACTCCGTCATTCTTTCTAACATGTAATAGGTGAAGTTCTACCTAGTGTCCACGTCTTGGATTGGCCGTTTGGGATCTTTGTTATGTTGTAATTGATACTTTAAAAGCGTTTCTGAAGATAAGGTACTTTTTTGAAATGTGTTTTTTTGCCGAATTGTCGAAAAAAAAAGACTTTTTATTTTATCTATTTGTACACGACAGCATTTAAGTGCGTCCTCCATCAATAAATTTACGTATGAACAAAACAATTTAAATGTTTTCATTCCAAAACATATTTAATAGCTATGACCATATTTGAGGCATTATCAGTTACTGCAAAATTTACTTTTTGTTTTAGACCCACTGAATAATAATTTCACTAATTTTAAAAGCGATGTTTTCTGAATTATGGTTTCCAGAAAAATGGCAGCAGTCTAATTAAACCGTGTTAAATTCTAAATTTTCGGTTAAATTCGTTAAAATCAACTAGTTGATGGTTAAACTGGTTACTTCTATAAAAAAAGAAAAGAAGATTATACTATTGAAATTGACTAGTACAAGAAAAAGAAACTGATAAAGATGACTTAAGTCCATGTAAATGTAAGTACTATTTGTACTGTTTTAATTTATTTTTCAAGTTATAATAAATATATTCTTCGTTAGTTTCTTTCACTTTAATACTTATACACATAAACGATAATAGCCAATATGTTTGTGTACTCGCTAATTTGAATACTGGTAAACAATCAACTAGTTACAGTTTACGAAAAACGGTTCCGATAAACATTTAAAAAAACTAAAGGACCCACCTCTAGCTTCTTAGCTTTATGAGGATCGGAACCACAGAATATGTAAAATATCTCTGATCGGAACTAATCGTCTCACTAACAGGCAAAATGGCGTCAAGAACATTTATGGGAGGGAGACCAAGGGGGAATATGATTGTTATCTTTGTCTATTCGCTGAAAATATGATTTTATATCTGTGTTAGATGTCCTGTTAAGTTTTACCATACCGACCATAAAATTTTACCTACACTGTATATATATATATAATATATATATATATATATATATATATATATATATATATATATATATATAGCTAAGATGACAAAAAAGAACAAAATATCGAACAAAAATAATTTATTTTCTTCACGTGATCACATAAAAAATAAAACTATACAATAATTATCAACAGTAATCGAATGATAAAAAAAACATCGATAAGACAATTATAGATTAACTACATTAGGTAAATAATTGGCCATCGATGTTTTCTCTATAATCGATAAAATACATATATTATTGTTAATATTATAGTCTATTTAAGTCTTACGCATACAGTTTACAGCATTACTATAAAACTGATGAAAATAGCAAATAAAGAAGAACGCAGATGTTATTCTATAATTTTCTTATAGATCTTAACGACTTCTATAAACGTTTTATTATTTTACACAAATACCAGTCTAGACAAAAAATATGACTTGTAAACATAAAGGAATGTCAGAATTCTACATTTATCTAATTTATTACCAGGCCGATAGTTACTAACTGACATATATCATGAGTAGCATCGACCTGTGTAGAATCGTAAACAGCCGTGCGGCAGGTAATTGAAAAAGTTTGATTGCACAATTTTATCCCTTTTAAGAAACTGAATAATACGCGAATGGTTAAGTTGAGTAAAAGGAAATATAATCTTATGGAAGTCCGAAATCATTAATTTTGTCAGACATTGACATTTGGCGAGCTTTATGTGATGTAAAAATATTTTTTGATTAATATTGTCAGGTATGCATCACTGCACTTGTACCAGCAAGGAAATTATAATAAAAAGCTTAGTTTGTGTTTGATTCGGCTCTGAGAGTTTACTTTTTTTACCATTTAGTAACAGATACGAGTTCACAGTATTTTATCAAAATCCTCAACATAATACATTTTGGCACATGGTTAAATTAAGATATACTCAAAAATCTCAAAACAAAGCCAATTGCTAACTGAAACATAACTTACAAAAAAGTAGTGGATCTTGACAAAACACCTCATCATTAAAATCGATAAATGGCTGTATGCATTAGACCTAATTTACCTGTGCAATCCAGTTGCACTGGGAATACTATTCGAATAATAGACTTAACATAGAAACGTGTATACCAATTAAATAGCGTATAAAAATTAGCAACCAGTCTTTGTCGTTATTTTAAAAATATTTGAATAAATCGTCAACAATCAACTGTAACAAAACACCAAACAAATTAACTGAACAACAAAACAATAAAAACAAACTAATACTGGCTGGATAGAGTCAATTTGCTATTCATTTACAGTAAAACTCAAAGAAACTTCTTGTATACGATTATATCCAAAATTTAATAAGTTTTTTGAACAATGGATTTATTTTTGGTAATAACTGTACTAAGCAATAGCCGAGGTAAGCTGAAGAACGTCCTTATTAATAAAACAACATTTTATATCCACCAAATTTATAGATTAGCATCAGTCTGACGGCAATGCTCACTTTCATAAGTAAAGTACTAATATTAATGGTATGCAAGTGAACATTTTTAGGAGAGAAGTTTTTCTTGGCTATCGATAAATATTGCTGCACTTTGGAGTTTTAATCTTCGTGTATTCCTAACAAAGTCAATATTTTGACCTATGTGTAAAATACTTTAAATTACTAAGTAAATGCCTGTTTTCTACATAGCAAAATGCATATTTGTCCGATATTTTAACGAGTGCATATATCTACGACATAACATTTTGAACAATTCTCAATTGAAGTTTTCTGTAAAACCCATTTTGGAATTCTTCAAAGGTTCGATCGTACACACAGGACAACTTAGAAGTATACTGGAGCGGAAGCATCGAACAAAAATACAGACTGCATAAAATTTGGCCACAGGTACGCTAGTGGCAAAGATTCTGGAAATGTTACAAAAATTATTGTTTTTCAAGCAACACTCGTCTCATTATTGTGATTTATAGAGTTTATCAACATACTTACATTCGTATTTTATTGTTTTATATTTCTGCTTAATATTTTATGTATTTTCTCACTCTATATATAATTATTTAATAAAATATGAAAGATTTGAGATTTTTGAATGGCAGCACTGGCAATACTGTATCACATCAGAGTTTCACTAACGAGTGGCGTGATTTAGTCGTCCAATTGGAAGCATTCAGTATAGTTTCGTATGATTTCTAGTGTTTATTAGCGACTTCCGGTAGTTGTTACTAAGGTAATATTTTTTAATTTCGGAGAGGAACACCTCTGTGGAGATTCAACAGAAAATGGCTCCCAGAAACTATTTTGGAAAAAGAGCCAAAGCAATTACGCTTGTTGAAGTTTACAAATATCAAGGAATAGCATAAAATCAGGTGTAATGAAATTTTTTTGACGTTATCATAATACTGGAACGACAAAATCAGCAAAAAGAACAGGTAGAAAACCCAAAATTAGTCAATACGCAGAATATGACGCCTGTCATTAGAAGAGATCGTCGCAGATTCGCAAAAGACATTAACGCTATTGTCAAATCAACTAGCTTACAAATATCGAACAGCACTATCAGAATAAAGTTATGTGAAAATGGATTGCGAGCAAGAACCCCTAGAAAGAGGCAGTTCCTGAACAATAACAGAGGCAAACATGCATTGATAGGGCTTTAACATACAGAGAGTAGACAGAACAACAATGGAGTAAGGTAATTTGAAGTGATAAAACCATAATCTCGATCTTTGAGAGTGATGCAATGAAGTTTGTTGGCCGCCGACCGAGGTAAGACCTTTTGCTCCAGTGTCCTACGGTCACTATGAAGCAACCTGTTAGTGTCATGATATGGGCTTGTATGATCACTAACGAAGTTGGACGTTTGGCATTAATAGAGAACAAAAAAAATATCAGGATAAAATACTGCCGACTATCAATTATTTGAAGGGGAGCCCTGTCATACGACCAAGACTTCCATGGAATTGTTGAGAAACCATGACGTTACTTTTCTGCCGTGGACTGGAAGTAGTCCCGATCCCAATAGAAAATATGTGGTCAAGGCGGAAAATGTTTAGTATCACGCCGAAACCAAGTAACAATAGATAATTAAGTAAAAGCATAAATCGATGCAATAAAATGTGTGAAAGAGGAATGCTGCTAATAAAACTAAAATTTTTATAAAGGTTCCAGAACATTGACCACTTTGAAGTGTTCAATTTAATATTTTAACCTTTATGTATGGCAACACTGCAATAAAAAAAGTATGCCTGGCATTTTTATTTCAACTATCGGAAGACATATCTCCTCCATACTTTTGTAAGCAATGTAATATGTATAACATTTTTAGCAAGGCAATACACACGCTAATTTTGTGTCTATCGATGTATATTTTTCCATCCTAATTTCCAACAAAAATCAATTTAAATTTAATCACTGGTCCTTCGAGCCGGATTCGTGATTAAATTTTAATTTTTTTTTGTTGGAAATTAGGGTGGACAAAAATAGAAATCGATAGACACAAAACTAGCGTGTGTATTGCCTTCCTAAAAATGTTATATTACATTGTTTACAAAAGTATGGAGGAGATATGTTTTCCGACAGTTGATATAAAAATGACAGTCAAACTTTATTAATTACAGTGTTGCCATACATAAAGGTTAAAATATTAAATTGAACCTGAAGTGATATGAGAATAAGAAAATGAAACAGAATAACCAGAATGACTGTGGAATGACTATGCAAGGACAAGAAAAAAGATTTCAATGCCGAAGCTGAAAAGATGTCAAATATGGCGAGGCGAGGATATCAAGAAACCGTAAATACGTTGTATATTTAGATACGCGACAATAAAAACTGAGGACGAAGAAAAAGTAAAAAATTTACGGGTAATAAATAGAAGAATTTTTTCTAATAACGATTTCCATTTACTTAGTAGATAAAATCGTTGATTCGATTATTTGTTAGATTTGTTGAAAATGACTAAATTGCAGTTGAAAAAAAAAATATGGCGCTAAGAACTAGAGTGGTAAAGCTAATTAACTTAAATAAATGAAGGAAAATATAAACAAAAAACTGCAAAAAGAATATTGCCGCATAATTATCTCGAGAACATAAGTTGGAAAAACGAAATCTGAAGGTAGGAGCATAAATGTTGATGAAGTAAGGGAGTAGTGGAAGAATACATTAACACTGAGAAAGTAGAAAAGGTGGTACTCGAAAGTGTGACAACATATTCCAACAAATGTGACATAGTCCAAAAAAAATCTTTAGGTAAGTTTTCTGAAAACAAACAAAAAGTAAGAACTCAACGGTAACCCCAGATTGCCAAAATGGCAAAAATACCAACGAGAAAGTGTTTACGAGAGTTGGTAAAGATATAGGACATTTTTAGTAATATTATGTCAATTATGTTCAGCTTAATTGCTAGTAAGATATTTATGTTTACCAAAACAAAATTTTTAATTTAACTTGATAAATCGATAGCAATTTGACTCTTCAGCTCGATCTAAAACTAAAGAAATAAACATCGCAGTAGATTATCGACGAATTACAATTAAAAACTAAACAAAAATTATTCATTTCTTGAGCAGCTTCTTCAAAACATAAAAGGATTTTGAAAAAATGTATCACCAGCTGCTAAATTTCGCATACCATGCATGGGAAATCTGCCCAAACGATTCGGATAATTTGCCCTGGGATTATTAATTTCTCTAGGGGGCCACATTCCCCTGACTGCAGGAAATCCTGTGAAAATACCGTAATAAAATTACTCCATTGGGTAAGTATACAGTGTGTCTGTAAAGTATGGAATAAATTCGATATTTTCTAAATGAAAGGCCTGTTTAAAAAAATCTAAAACACGTCGAATTTTTAAGTTTAATGTTCTATATTACTACAACAAAATTTCATTATAAAAGGTGATTTTTATTTTTTAGATCGATAAAAATGAGCTGATTCCAAAAAAGTATAATACTCGGGGTCTAATGGATATAATTTGAAAGATAAGCGCTTAGAAAATAATGATTATTTATTATCAATTGCAAAAAAGTAGCCTACTGCTAGTTTTAGTGAAATGTCATTATTTTTAGTAACGTTCAATAACAATTAAGTAGTACAATAATTGTATTAATTTGTGAATGTTCTGTAATATTGCTTAGAATTAATTTGAAGTAGAAATGAATTTAATGAGTGTTAAGCAAAGAATTGAAATACTCATGATGATTAGGTATAGAGAGAAACTGCGAAATCAGATAGAAGTGTGTAATTTATTTAATGATAAATATCTAGAAAAACCCATAACGCATGACATTAAGTAAGATTGAAAAGAAATTTCGAGAAACTGTTGAAAATTCAGGCAAATCAGGTCGTCCCTCTGTAAATTATGATACATGAGATGTTCTACTTGCTCTTGAAGAAGATGCGCACACTTCTGTCCGTAAGGTAAGTCGTTATCTCGATGTTGTCAAAACTTGAAAAATTGCACCCCTTTAGATGCACACTTCTACAGAACAGATGATCCAGATAAAAGAATACAATTTTGCGAAACAATGATGAATAACTGTCACCAAAACCCTCTCTTGGTTCATAATATTTTTCTGATTAAGCTACATTCACATTAAATGGCGAGGTCAACCGCCAGAATTGCAGATACTGGGCAAAAGAAAACCCCAACTGGATGCGGGAACATCATACACAATAGCCACAAAAGGTAAACGTATAGGCTGGCATTCTAAGAAATAGAATCATCGGACCCTACTTTTTCGAAGGTAATTTAAACGAGCCAGCATATCTTTACTTTTTAAGGGGGTATCTCGTACCTACTTTAGTTAATTTATTCTCCAGTAAAATTATTCCCGAAGATTTTAATGAAAGTTTATGATTTCAACAGAATGGGGCGCCTCCGCATTATGCTTGTAGATGTTCGAAGGTACCTAAACAAAATTTTTCGAACAGGTGATTGAAAGACGTGGACATATTGAATGGCCAGCGAGGTCACCTGACCTCAATCCTTTGGATTTTATGTGGAGTCATTTGAAGAATGTTGTTTATAAAACAAAACTTGCAAATATTGAAGACTTAAAAACAGAAATTCGTAAAGAAATAAACAATATTTCTCAAGAAACCATAAACAAGGTTCTACAAGAATTTGTACAACGTTTGAGTTACTGTCAAATACAACAAGGGCTACAATTCAAACATTTAAAATAAAGTCATGTATTAATTACTAAATTACTTTCAAGTTATTTATTATAATTTATTAATATTAGAAATGAATAAAAAATAATTTTCTAAGCGCATACCTTTCAAATTATATCCGTTAGACCCCCAGTATTATACTTCTTTGGAATCAGCTCATTTTTATCGATCTAAAAATGTCCTAAAATACAGGGTGTTACATTTAAAAAAAGAGCCGATGACGTCATCACCTTAATGTGTTATCAAATTGTCTACTGAAATTTTATTGTAAAATGTAGAACATTAAACTTAAAAATCGACCTGTTTTAGATTTGTTTAAAAAGGCTATTCATTTAGGAAATATCGAATTTATTCCATACTTTACGGACACACTGTATATCGTGTTCACATAAGTTGATAAAGTATGATGTCAGACGGTGTATTTAAACCTTTTAAACTACACCCGACCTGAACTAGATGTTCCAAATCAAATGCAAACTTTTTTAAGTCGATGATCTAATTTGCCAATTAGAGTTGACTCCAGGTTATGCCGTGTTTGGTTGAATTTTACTTATAAATAAACGTTATTATGAATTAATCTAAGATAGGTTACTAAAATCAATTAAATCTTCTCGGATCATATTCCAGTGGAAGATGAAACAAGATAAACCGGTACGTTTTTGTGAAAATCGAATTTTCCTTATTTTCCGCAACTTTTCCAAGGTAAAACTTTTCGTTTTCACTACCTGTCGTTATGCACTTTTTTGCAAGTTCTCGGAAGCCTATGAACGGTACTAGAAATTCGCAATTAATGTAATCGATTCAACTCTGGAGGATAAATAATTGTACCAGTTTTTATAAGGTGCCATCTTAAAAGAGCTCTAGCGCCCTTCGGAAGCATTTTTGGACTAGGTGAATTGGGTTAAATAGTCTTAAAATTATCTGAGGAATCTCCGGTTTTCGTTTGGAAGGAGAGTTTCTGGACACCCTGTATAATAAAAATCGATACAATAGAAATAAAATACTTTAATTATACGTAAAAACATTTTATGAAGTATGTACCAGATCTCATTTTACCTTCTTACTCATAGACAATATTAACCCTACATTACTACCCGAGGTACAGGTGTACCCCAGGTTGTCGTAAAAGTCCTGTAATTTTTTTACTTTTGGCAACACGGTAACGCGCGCTCCTGTAATTTCTTGTTTTAGCAGGTCAGTTATAATCTTGCAGTCGCTGAGTCTTTAAGTGCTGTTGTTTAACAAGTGCGTTGATTTTGGGGTTCAGTTGTACCCCGGGTAGTATTTGTTTTATTGATGAAGTTAGGGTTTTAAAGCAGTTTTAAAGTTTTTAGCAGTAAAATAATGGCTCCACGAGCGACAGTTTACAGCGCACATATCGCCGCGTTCTGGTCTTGTAGTGGCTCCATGAGAGTTAATATGACGCAGCTACAATCAGTGGTATCTTGTCCGTGTATATAGCAGATAAATAAAAAAGTAAAATTAATTCAGACGGATAATACAATAATATAGTATGGATAATCTATCATTTCAACAAAAAGTTGCTTTAATATTGGCATTGCGCCGTCGACGTAGGGTTAAAAACAACGGAAATGGTAAATTCACCCTGTTCATTGATTATAAACCACCACCTAGATACCTCACTCTAAGGTAAAAACGAATTCAGTGTTAAACTCCGCCCACTTACACCTCTTTGCCCCTCACGCCTAAGTACTACCTGACTGTATGGAGGCGACATTAATTGAAATATTTGCCAAGATTGAAAAATAAATTTGAGTTCCCTGGTCCGGTCTAGTGCAATATAAGGATGGCATTCAGCATTTTCACTAATCATTTTAACGTGCTTGTAATCTATATTATGAAATTCCGATTTTACTTCAGAAAAAAAACGCTAAAAATTGATTAATGAAAACAGTAAAGGTTTTCTAAAAATTATATATTTATTAATACAATACAAAAAAAAATAACAAAACATAAATTCATAATAAAATTAGCAGTGATAAATTACATCTCACGTAAATTACTTTTTTGTAACTTTTCGAACAAATTAATTTCCAGAATTGATGCAAACTAAAATATTTCAAGCTAATATACAGAATTTATTTCCAGATTTAGTCCATTCACTCACGGTAAAATATTGCAAACCTCCTAATTTTAAAGAATCGCTTGGATTGACATGAAATTTGGCTTACGCCTAGCTGAGATGTCAAAGAAAAAGAGATTATGCTTTTACCCTATGGTTCAGTATCACCCCTTCTCGGGAGTGAAAAAATATATGTTCAAGATAAGTTCGGAAGTGCTTAAAATCAGTCATTCTAATCAACTTTTGTTCTAAAGAGTTTATTCACTAAGTCATTACTTTTCTAATTATTGAAAAATAGGTTCTTATTCGTCAAATTCCATGTTGAATATTTCAACGTGAAATAATAAAAGAATGAAGCACTTTTCGACGAAATCTCATTACAACTTTTTTTAAAGTGTTTAAAAAGGTTTATTTTTGTTAAGTTTCTAGCATCAAAAGTAAGTAAGCTGTGGCCAAATATTCAGAAAAGCAAAACCTACATTTTTTTACTCTTTGTGATTTTTGGTGTCACCAATAAATTTTAAGTTATTTAAAAAAAAGCATTTTTTTCAAAACTAAAAAAAAATGAAGCCCTTTAAACAAATGAAACTTAGAGATCATTATAATAATACAATAAAAACAATGACCAAGGTATTTATCAGAGAAATCAGGCCAAGCATTGAAATTGCAAGACAAGCATTTATAAAAATGGAAAAAATGTTTGTTAATCGAGATCTTAACTAGTTTTGATGGGAAATAAGCCAGAATTTTACTAAAAAAATGATTTTATTAACGTTTCGACGCCCAAATCGGGTGTCATCTTCAAAATACAAAAGTTATCAATGAATTAGACAAAAATGTTGTTGCTTAGTAAAAAAATTCTTCTAATAATTTATTTAATCTGACTCATTTATATTGGCAATTCAGACATATTATACATTTTAAAGTAAAAGACTTTAACATGATATTGCCAATATTTATGAGTTGCGTTCATGGGACTATATTTATAATCTAGCGCGAGAATTTTACTGTCACCATTGCATGTGGTTGTCTTTTTAAAGACAGATTACATGTTATGATTTTTTTTGTGACGGATATTCTTGAGTTGGGGTTGATTTCATGTAATCGAATTAACTATCTTTCAATAAAGTCCTCCCAGGAACACAACTCATAAATATTGGCAATATCATTTTAAAGTCTTCTACTTTAAAATATATAATACATGTCACAGGACATCGTTGAAGTGAGTCAAAATTGGTAGTATTTTATATCGTCTGTCATTTGTTTTCACCGAGTCATCTGCCAAAATACCATATTGTAAAATGGATTTTTACTCCAATATGATGAAATAGTTGAAAGTGAACACGGACCCATTTTAAGCAAGTCCCAAAAACTTTTTATTTCTGTAATATGTATTAGCGTCCTTCCAAAACGTCATCCTAGTAATTTTGCGCTTTTGGATTGATTTCTGATATGCATATACGTT